GTAGCAAGTCCTTTTCCAGGGTTACTTCCCTTCTTCTTTTAATGCCACTAGGACCAGCTTGAGAGTCACTGGACCTCTGTCGTACAACAGATCGTCCCATAGAGCTCTGTATCTCCCATTCCTTTAAGACTTTCCTAAAATGGACCATAACATTGTCATTGTACAGGTTGCCAACACAGCTTGCAGTAGCTGTGTCAGGGTGATTTTCATCCGTAAAGGTTTGCAGTTCAGTCCACGTTGCACACATTTCCTTATTCTCTTTTTTCAATTCCATACTAATTCTCGCCCTTTTTACCACAAGGATGGCACTAGAAGCTTTCTTGGGGTCCATGGTGACTTATTTTGCAATTATAAGCACTAGAAACACTGGGATAATGTGAAATGTACTGAATGTATGCTTAGATGCTACCATACTGGCTGGCTTACTGAGGCCACACGTGGGACGCATCCCGAACGAATCACGTAAGGCGAGTTTTTTATCGTGAGGTGAGGCAAAATTTTTCCGTTCAAATGCTTCATATGGTGGATTTAACATAACACGATGCGTTCGTAAGGCGGGGATCCACTGTATTTTGTCCTGTCTCCAGACAAACTCTCGTCGGCCACCGCCACACATATAATAACATACGTATTTTATTCATTCTAGAGTATATATGTATCAGGTTTCTATGTGATTTATATTGTTTGTTATGTCATATTAGATGAACTGTGATAGATAAATAAGCCATAGAGTTGATGATAGCGATATATTTAAGGAGTATTTTGTCCTGTCTCCAGACAAACTGTAGTCCACTGCTGACACTGCCCATACCACTACATGAATTACATATTTTATTCATTTTAGAGTATATATCAGGTTTCTATGTTATTTATATTGTTTATTATGTCATATTAGATCAAGTGAGGTAGATAAATAAGCCGTAAAGTTGATATTAGCGAAATTATTGAAATACAGAATTCCATTGGAATGGATTAATTGCATTTCAGTTAATTTAAATGAGAAAAATTGACTATGCAAACGAGCAAATCCAGTTGCGAGCAAGGTCATGGAACGGATTAAACTCGCAGGGTGACCTGAAAAGGAAGAAATGAAAGTTTTCTTCTTTTTATGTTTAGTAATTTATACAGGAGAAGGGGTTACTAACTCCTTGCTTCCAGCATTTTAGTCACCTCTTACAACATGCATGGCTTACAGAGGAAGGACTCTCCTCTTCCCTATTGAGTGATGTAATGTATATATAGACATAATTTTTTAAGATTGTAATATGTATAGCAAAGAGAAGAAACAAAGAATTCATAGACATTATAGAGTATTTTATGTAAGAGGAAATGAAATGCAGTAAAATAGTTTCTGGTGAGAGTACATCCCATACCTATGTGAGCATTGTGGGGGTAACCATTTTTTAAATAACTTATGTTCAAAAAACAAGCTATTTAAAAGAACTTTAGAGAAGAGATGTTAAGGCAGGCAAGTGGAATAATCTGCCAAATAGCTATTAAAGCTAATACTTTGGGTATTTTTAAAAATAGGGTAGACCATTAAGTCTACTGCACCTCCTAGGCAGGGGCAATATATGGAGAAGAAGAGGGAGGTTATAAGAGGGGTGTCAGAGTGCAAAAGGAGTGACAGAGAATGGGAGAGTCCCTATCAGCAAATTTTGCTGAGAATAAGAAGCAGTTTCAGAGAGAGATCAGTAAAGTGAGGAAGCCTGGAGAACAAATGAACTTAGCAGTCAAGAACAGCAGAAGGAAGATGTTACATGAGAAGGAGGAGGAGGAGGTACTGGAAAGATAGGTAGGATAGTTTAACGAGATGTTGAATATTAGTGATGAATAGTAAGCAGTGATTTCTTGCATAGGGCAGGGTGGAATATATTGTATTGGAATGAGGAGAGTCTGAGGTGGATGTGGGGAAAGTGCATGAAGTAGTGGGCAGATTGAAATTGGGTAAAGTAGCTGGGATAGATGGGGTTGAGGCAGATGTTAAAAGCAGGTGGGGATATAGAGTTGGAGTGGTTGGTATGTTTGTACAATATATATATTAAAGATGTGAAGGTACCAAAGGATTGGCAGAGAACATGCATAATCCTTTTGTATAAAAGAAAAGGGGGGGGGGAAAGGAATGTAAGAATTATAAGGGGATAAGCCTGTTGAGTATACCAGGTCAAGTTTATTGTAGAATTATTATTGAAAGAGTTAGTAGCAAGACAAAAAAAAAAAGTCAGATTTCAGAGGAATAAGGAGGATTCAGAAATGGTTGGGATATGTAGCCCAAGTGTTTGCAGTAATGCATATAAATGAGCTGTACTTAGGTAAGAGCTGTTTGTTGCATTTATGCATTTAGAAAAGGCATATGATAAGGTGGAAAGGGAAGCCCTTTAGCAGAATAACAGGAAAGTTACTAAAAGCAGTTAAAGAGTTTTTATGCAGAGATTGAGGCTCAGGTTAGGGTATGTAGGAGGAGGGTGACTAAATCCCAGTGAAAGTAGGACTTAGTGACACATGATGTCACCACTGTTATCAACTTATTTATAGATGGGATTGTGAAGGAAGTAAATGCTAGTGTGTTGAGAAGAGGTGTGAGACTGAAAAATGTTGGTTCTGATACTAAAAGGGAGTTACCTGGTTGCTCTTTGCTTATGACACAGGTTCTTTTAGGGGATTCTGAAGGTAAATTACAAAGGTGGGTGGATGAATTTGGTAGGGTATGTAAAAGGAAATTAAAAGTGAACATAGAAAAGAGAAAGATGATCAAGGTAACAAAATGTCTAGGCAATGATAGATTGAATATCTTACTGGAGGGAGTATGGAGGATGTGGATGCATTTAAATATTTGTAAGTGGACATGTCAGCAAAAAGAAATTTATCTGTGGTCAGAAAATAAGGGAATGTACCAGAGTATAGTGGTACCAACACTTTTATATGGGTGTGAGGCATAGGATTTTGAATGCTGCAGTAAAACAGAAAATGTCATGTTTGAGAGCAGTGTGTGTAGTGAATATTGTGGAGAGAATTCAGAGTGTACATATTAAAAGGTGATGTGGGGTGACCAAGAGGATAATTGAGAGAGTTTAGGAGTGGTTGTTGATGTTTGGGCATGTAGTGAGGATGGACAGGGATAGGTTGATGAAAAGAGGATATAAAGTGGCAGAAGGTAAAAAGGGAAGCATCTCAGAAGTAGTTAAAGGGAGGGGGGTACCAGAGGCTATGAGATTTAGGGGCTTGAGCATCCAACAGACTTGTATGAGTGTTTTAGGTAGTAGTTCATGGCAACAAATGGTTTTATAGACATGTTTAACCCTTTCAGGGTCCCCCAGGCTTTCTCCCAGACTTGTTCTCAGGATCGCCTAAATTTCTAAAAAAAAAAAATTATTTTTTCCTTTGAAAAGATAGAGAATCTTTTCCCAATCATAATGACGCCAAAAGTATGAAATTTGATGGAAAACTTATGGAATATGCTCTCACGAAGTAATCAGTCTCAACGATGTTCACGCATCGGCGATTTTGCCCAATTTGAGCTCTATTTTCGGCCAATTCTAGTGTACTAGTCGACAAAAATCATAACTATTTTGCTAGAACTCCATTTTTTCTATCGAATGAGTACAAGAAACCACCCATTTACCGATTTCTACTATCCAATACAATGGTCAGAATTTAGCAATTTTGCCAATTTCAAAAGATGCCAATTTCAAAAGATGCCAATTTCCAAATAGGGTCCAGAATAAACAAGAAAGACATTCCTGGCACTAAAATAACATTTCCTCTGTTTATTAGTCATGTCCCCATGCCCCTCTTACATTCTTTTGCTTTCCACTTTGAATTTTTAGTCTCACAAAAAATAGAAGATTTACTGTTATGCAGACTACTGTATTAGTGTAGAAATGGTATAAATAATATCAGCGCACTTGTGAAAGAATATTAGACTCACCAGTTGATGTGTATTGGACGCTTAGCATGATTTGTTTATTTTTGAACTTTGGTAAAAATCAAACATTTCTGCTACTTTGAGCTCAATTTCAAGGTACTTTTCATTGTAAAACCAGTCAAAATCATCTCGATTTCTGTAATATGTCTTTCACTCTATAAAATGAGACCAGGAAAACTAGAATACAACAATAAATACCATACGAAAATACAGTGCAAAGTCGCTGTTTTAATCCAAAAACACGGTCAAAGTTTTTTTTTTTTCTCATTACACACTGTGTGCTGCAGATTTTTTTTTTATACAGCGCACACTGACCACATAGACCCATTCTTTCATATGTAGGCCTACCAGCTTTCTCTCACTAGATTTGAGGGCGCTAGAATTTAGGTGTACTAGTACGTCAAAAACCCTGGTGCGTAAGCTGTACTAGTACGTCCGAAACCCTGAAAGGGTTAAGTATGAGCAGGGTAACTTTTATGAAGGGATTCAGGGAAACTGGTTAGCTGGAAACTGGTTAGCTTCCCACCCCCAGAACTTGGAAGTCCTGGAGGTGGGAAGGGCAGTGCCTACACTTTGAAGGAAGGTTGGTAATGTTGCAGTGAGAGAGGTAAAAGACAGCAATTGAGTGAATGATGGCGAATCTGTTTTCTTCTTTGGGTCACGCTGCCTTTGTGTGAGATAACTGTTGCATTAAAAATATATAGTATTTCATTCAAAATGTGCTGTGTCTTCTTTCTATATATTAACAAGATCAGAGCAGTATTTAAAAGATATGACCTCTCATGCACAAGATAAGCACATACCTGAAACAAAATTGAGTATTCTGATGGTTAGGCTCTGTAGGAGCCTAACCCTGGCAGTTTTGGATGTTCAGCTGTACATCTAATTTACACCTGGAAAATAAAAGAGGACCAATTTCAAATCTGCACTCTAAATTAATCACTGGCAAGATTGGAAGGCACAGTAGATGGTGATTGCTGTATTAATTAGTAATAGTGGAGGAAAAACATATTGAGCTAGGTAGTAGAAAATATATGCATAACATGACTTTGCCTGATGCTAGGGTGGTCTTCAGGGTCGAGTGTCACAGACTGAAGTGCGAGTATTTTGGGTCTCCCTGGTTGCCTTCCCTCTCATCTGGTCCATCCTCTTCCTCATTGCAGTTGCTTTTTTCGAATTCAGATGGGCTGTAAGTATGTTAATCTGAGTTTATTTTTGTCATATATATTCCTGTGAGCTTCCTCTTAGCACCCTGCTGAAATTTAACAAGAACTGAATAATATACCCAGTATTAACGTCTTTAATTAAGGTTTAATGTGTAGACGCCAGAGTTTATTAGATTTTTCACACACTTTCAGATTTATTAGTGTATGGTGAATTTGTTTTAATAATTTATGTGTCTGTCCAACATCTTATTTTTTTCTATTAGTACAATTTCCTTGAAAATTTGGAAATGTTCAGTTCATGATAGGTAAGTAAGTTAGTATTGTGAGGTTAGGTTTCTTCATGTAACCAGTTGATGTGTACTCAACTAATTTAGTTTCATTTAATCCCATCTCTCAGTATATTATAGTTGAAATAAGCTAAGTAATGAGGGATTAAAGCTTTTTGTCAGATTAAATTTGTTAGTGCTGAAACCTTAAGAACTATCACTTGTGGTTCTTTGCAGACAGTAGATGATAGTTAACATTAACGACTAAGATATAATTTTATATTTTAACCCCTTAACCATCCAAACGTAGATCTTTGTTGTTACCACTAGTGCTCCAAACGTAGATTAACATTTTATTTTTCCTGCCTTCAAATTTGGCATGATAGGCCTGAGCGGCCTAGACATGAGAGAATGGGTCTGCACACATAGTATGCGCCATATGAAAAAAATTGGGGACCCTGCGGTATGGCATGGTAGCACTAGTTAGTTTCAGCTTCAGCTTGGGTCAACATCATGGCAAATCCCCACGATTCACTCATGCCTCATCGTATTAACACTCTCTTATTCGAGGAACATGATATAGAATGTGAGTTTAGTGGATTTGAGACCGATGTGGCCACTGATGATCAAGGAATTAGTGAAAATATTGACGATAACCCAGATGACCCTCAGCCCATCACCTCTGGGGTGGCCAGTGTGGCCATGAAAGATGCTCAGCCAAGCACCTCTGGGGTGGCCAGTGTGACCACATCAGACCCTCATAGAAGCACCTCTGGGGTGGCCAGTGTGACCACATCAGACCCTCATAGAAGCACCTCTGGGGTGGCCAGTGTGGCCACACTAGACCCTCGGCCAAGCACCTCCGGGGTGGCCAATGTTACTACTCAGAGGCAACTATGCAAGTGGAAATTATCATTTTCTGTCAGTTTTGGTGATGATGATAATGAAAGTGATACAAGTGATGATGAGATTGATTTTATGCCCTTAGAGGATTCATTGAGTGATAGTGATATACATTATTCCCCAGTGAAGCATACCTTTAGGCGTCGTCGCCTATGTTCAGGCAGTGTGCCACATATGATGAATGTTTTTAAAAAAACATTCTACAGGATTAATGGACTGAACACATCGACTCCAGGCTGTGGGACTGATTACCTCAAACTCCTCCTCTCCTTAAACCTTTCTGCTTTGTATTGGACTGATGAAGCCACTGTGTGGTGAAACGTTTCTTAAATAAAGATTCCCGTATGTTGCATAAGTGTCTCAATCTTCAGTGTGCCATATGCAATCCCCAAGGGCCTACCTGGAGGGTATTCTGGGGATCATTGCCCCTGAGGCCCAGTCTACAGTCATGGGAAGTCACGTAACCCCAGCCACTGATAGTCATACTGATCATGAAGGAGAATATGCAGGGATGGAGGAAGAGGAGGTGGTGGTGGTGGGAGGCACGGTGCCTGGGCCACATGGCATGTCCAGCAGGCAGACAAAGGACACCACAGCACCCCTTCAACCTTGTGCTGCCTCCACTCCCATCCCTCCTCCTGCTTGCCCACGCCCCATGCCACAGGTCCACCTTGCACCATGTGGCCGTGAACGGAACTGGACACAAATTACAACATTCATGCCACATCCTTTTGATTTTGATGCCAGTAGAAGTGGCATCCTCCCAGAATGTCCCATCACGAATGAGTCTACAGAGTTAGACTTTTTCCAATTACTGTATACTTTGACGAGCCGATAATGAACTTGATTGTCACCCAGATGAACGATTACTATCGCTATACAGTGGACCCTCGCATATCGTTGGCATCACATAACGTTAAATCCGCATACCGATACATTTTATCACTAAAATTTTGCCTCGCATACCGCTAAAAAACTCGCTCAACGCTATTCGTCCGAGACGCTTCTAATGTGTGGCCTGAGCCAGCTTCACATGTTCCGCCGGTGGCATTGTTTACAAGCCAGCCTCCGCGGTAACATCCAAGCATACTTTCGGAACATTTCGTATTATTACAGCGTTTTTGGTGATTTCATCTGCAAAATAAGTGACCATATGCCCCAAGAAAGCCTCTAGTGCTAACCCAGTGGTAAAAAGGGTGAGAAATACTATCATACCACAGTCAGCTGTTGCTTGACCAGTCAGCTGTTGCTGGATCAGTCAGCTGCTGTTGCACCTCGATCAGCTGTTGTTGGACCAGTCAGCTGTTGCTGAATCAGTCAGCTGCTGCTGCACCACGATCAGCTGTTGCTGGACCAGTCAGCTGTTGCTGGATCAGTCAGCTGCTGCTTTCACCACGATCAGCTGTTGCTGGACCAGTCAGCTGTTGCTGGATCAGTTAGCTGCTGCTGCACCACGATCAGCTGTTGCTGGATCAGTCAGCTGCTGCTGCACCACGATCAGCTGTTGCTGGACCAGTCAGCTGTTGCTGGATCAGTCAGCTGCTGCTGCACCACGATCAGCTGTTGTTGGACCAGTCAGTTGTTGCTGAATCAGTCAGCTGCTGCTGCACCACAATCACTGTTGCTGACAATCAGCTGTTGCTGGATCAGTCAGCTGCTGCTGCTGCACCACGATCAGCTGTTGCTGGACCAGTCAGCTGTTGCTGGATCAGTTTGCTGCTGCTGCACCATGATCAGCTGTTGCTGGACCAGTCAGCTGTTGCTGGATCAGTCAGCTGTTGCTGGATCAGTCAGCTGTTGCTGGATCAGTCAGCTGTTGCTGGACCAGTCAGCTGTTGCTGGATCAGTCAACTGTTGCTGGACCAGTTAGCTGTTGCTGGATCAGTCAGCTGTTGCTGGATCAATCAGCTGTTGCTGGACCAGTCAGCTGTTGCTGGATCAGTCAGCTGTTGCTGGATCAGTCAGCTGTTGCTGGACCAGTCAGCTGTTGCTGGATCAGTCAGCTGCTGCTGCACCACGGTCAGCTGCTGTTGCACCATCAGCTGTTTCTGAACATGACTCGTCCCGAACCTGTCCCGAACCTGTCTGTCCAGCCTGAGCGCCTGCTTTGCCATCATTGTTTACAAGCCAGGGTGGCCGGTTGCATGCATACATTCGATACATTTTGTATTATTCCATTATTTATAGTGCTTGTAACTGCTAAATAAGCCACGATGGGCCCAAAGAAAGCTTCTAGTGCCAACCCTGTGGTAAAAAGGGTGATAAATACTATCGTACCACAGTCAGCTGCTGCACCACGGTCAGCTGATAAATTGGACCAGTCAGCTGTTGCTGCACCACAGCTGCTGCTGCACCACAGCTGCAACTGCACCATGGTCAGCTGTTGCTGCACCCAGCTGCTGCTGCACCATGGTCAGCTGCACCACAGCTGTTGTTGTTGCTGCACCACCATCAGCTGTATTACTTGAAGATGTGGAGAGAGTGTTGTTGGTGTGGCTTATCGTGAAACAATTACCGAGAAACAATTAACCCCAGAGGGTTAGCCACCCAGGATAACCCAAGAAAGTCAGTGCATCATCGAGGACTCTAACTTATTTCCATTAGGGTCCCAGGATGCAACCCACACCAGTTGACTAACACCTAGGTGAACAGGGAAAAATGCCTGGAACTAGTGCTCATATTGGTGAATTTAAAGCCAGCAAAGGTTGGTTTGAGAGAATTAAGAATCGTAGTGGCATACACAGTGTAATAAGGCCTGTTCTGGAAGAAAATGCCAAACAGGACCTACAGTACTCAGGAGGAAAAGGCACTCCCAGGACACAGTGTCTCATCAGTCATTGCTGCATCTTCAATAAAGGTAAGTGTCATTTATTCTTCATTTAGTAGAGTAGTACATGCACAATATATATTGTGCATGTACTACTCTACTATTGTGCATGTATCCTTCTCTTTGTGTGTAGGAAAATGTATATTTCATGTGGTAAAAATTTTTTTTTCATACTTTTGGGTGTCTTGCATGGATTAATTTGATTTCCATTATTTCTTATGGGGAAAATTCATTCGCATAACTTTAATTTCGCATAACAATGAGCTCTCATGAACGGATTAATATCGTTATGCGGGGGTCCACTGTATAATGGACAACACAGAGGTTGCAGAATCGTCACGGCTGTGCAGATGGAAAGATACAACTGTGGCCGAAATGTATTTATTCCTTGGCACTGTCATGCTTATGCCTCATGTGTATAAGCACAATATAGCACAGTACTGGTCCACAGAATTACTTCATCAGTACTCCTGTCTTCCATGACCTCATTCCCTGCAACAGATTCACTCTGTTGCTACGAATGTTACACTTCTCAGACAGGAATAGGCCCAACAGAAATGACCTTCTATACAAAATCCAGGAAGTGTTTATGTATCTGAAACAGAAATTCAGCGCCTACTTTTATCTCTTCAAGAACATTGTTATTGATGAGTCCTTGATTCTGTTCAAGGGACGGCTCTCATTCAAACAATATATGCCAAGCAAATGCAGTTGGTTTGGTATAAAACTGTTACGTATGACTGTGAGAGTGGCATAGTCTTGTATGTCATTGTCTACACCGGGAGAAACATACTCATTGATGACAGGCGGATGCTGGGCATTTCCGGTGATGTTGTTCGCAAGATGATGGGGCCATACCTTTCCCGTGTGTGAACAATACTGATATATGTGGAATTGTGAGAAGAAATAGAAAACATATGCCAAGGTTCAGTGGAGGCAGTGCTGAAGGCACAGCGCAAGCATTTCATGCCAGTGCCATCATGACACTGACGTGGCATAACAAATGGGACGTGACATTGCTGTCAATCATCCACAGAAACAAGATGGTACAAAGTGAACAGGGTCACCAATGAATACATTGTAAAGCCAGCTGCTGTCATCGACTATACGAATATTGTGCAACTAGTCGACAAGTGCGACATGATGATAAGGTTCATTGACTGTGTGTGTAGTAGTTGGAAGTGGTACATGAAAGTGTTTTTCCACCTTGTAGACATTGCAATGCTCAGTATCTTCAATATGTATGAAATAAAGACTGGAAAATGACTTCGTTATGCAGAACTCACCCTGAATATCATAAAGCAGATAGTAAAAAAGTTTGGTACCACACCTGTACCTGCCTCTCAGCAGTGACCTGTGCCCCAACCACAACCAGTTGGGAAAGTGTCAGACCAAATCCTCACCAACTGTCACTACCTGATACCAATACCGTCTACCCCAAAAAAAGAAGTATTCTCAGAAAAATTGTGTATTTGTGTATGTGCTAACACCACAAGGTGACCCCAACAGCGGAAAGACATACAGTTCACGTGTCAGCAATATGGGGTGGCACTCTGTATGAATCCATGCTTCATGGAGTATCATACAATCCTGGAGTACTAGAAACATAACTGGGACATGTAAATACCTTGTATATAATTGTAGATATTAGTCTGTGATTCAGCCAGGTGTACAAAATCACTTATCAGTGTGTACATGTGTGTTTGTGACAATATGATTAATAATTTTGTACATAATATTTGTGTCTAAGCAACAGTTGGCTATGAAATCAATAGATCTACTATAAAACATAATTATCATACCATAAAAACTGAGACAATTTAAAAAAATGGGAAAAAAAAAATGATATATTTGCAACAAGTCTGCAAGTGGCAGCGCATCGTGTTGCCGTCAGGTGAGTGACAAGCAACAACTTCACGGCCTTAAATCTCCATAAGTACTGACTCTAAATTTTTTTTTATCTTATTACATGTAAAAACATGTCCTCTTTATTCAAAATATTCGGAGCGCTGGGCAAGAGAACGTAGGTCTATGTTTGGACAGTTAGGGAGTTAAATTTAATGTGATCACTATATTAAGAATTAGTAAATATTTTTTACCTTTATCACATTATTATTACATTTTGTGTTTTTTCTTGTTTCAGATGGTTGTATTGATTGCCCTTTCCTTAACCGGTAGCAATTTATATGGTTATGTACGGTGTAAGTTTGGCAAGTCTGAGAGTATTACACAGACTTTTAAGAATATGACAACAGGATTGGTTCAGAAGCAAATGATGAGCAATGTAAGTTTGAATTTTTTTTTATTTTATATTTGAACTATTTACACATTTTATTACCCTGAATAAGCAAGAAAGTTCCAAATGATGAACTATTCTTTCATTCCATTATTAGTAAAAAAAAAAACACATCGGCCGTCTCTCACCAAGGCAGGGTGGCCCGAAAAAGAAAAACTTTCTTCATCATTCACTCCATCACAGTCTTGCCAGAGGCACACTTACACTACAGTTATGAAACTGCAACATTACCACTCCTCCTTCAGATGCAGGCACTGTACTTTTCATCTCCAGGACTCAGGTGTGGCATGCCAGTTTCCTGAATGCCTTCATAAATGTTACCTTGCTCATACTCCAACAGCATGTCAAGTCCTAATAACCATTTTCTCCATTCATTTTTATCTAACATGCTTATGCATGCTTGCTGGAAGTCTAAGTCCCTCGCACACAAAACCTCCTTTACCCCCTCCCTCCAACCTTTCCTAGGCTGACCCCTACCCTGCCTTCCCTTCACTACAGATTTATACAATCTCAAAGTCATTCTGTTTTGTTCCATCCTCTCTACATGTCTGAACCACCTCAACAACCCCTCCTCAGCCCTCTGGATAATAGTTTTGGTAATCCCACACCTCATCCTAATTTCCAAACTATGAATTCTCTGCATTATATTCACACCACACATTGCCCTCAGACATGACATCTTCACTGCCTCCATGCTTCTCCTTGTTGCAACATTCAGCACCCATGGTTCACACTCATATAAGAGCGTTGGTATAACTATACTCTCATACATTCCCCTCTTTGCTTCCATGAACAAAGTTCTTTGTCTCCACAGACTCCTAAGCACATCACTCACCTTTTTCCCCTCATCAATTCTGTGATTCACCTCATCTTTCATAGACCCATCTGCTGACACGTCCACTCCTAAATATCTGAATACATTCACTTCCTCCATCCAATCTTTCATTACCTAATTCTTTTGTTATCCTCCATCACCTTACCCTTTCCTATATTCACTTTTAATTTTCTTCTTTTACATACTCTACCAAACTCATCCAGCAACTTCTGTAACTTCTCTTCAGAATCTTACAAAAGCACAGTGTCAGCAAAGAGCAACTGTGACAACTCCCGCTTTGTGTCAGATTCACAAATAACCCGCTCATAAAAGAGAGAAGCTTACGGCGACGTTTCGGTCCGACTTGGACCATTGACAAAGTCCACTCTGTGACTTTGTCATGTCCAATCGACCGAAACTGTCATCTAAGCTTCTCTCTCTTTATTCTTATTGTGTATCATTCAGTAAACGGTATTGTGCCTTTTTTTGTATCAATTCTGTGTCAGATTCTTTTCTTCTTCCCACACTCCTCACTCTCTCTACATTACTCATTTTAGAACTATCTTACTATATTTCACCATTTGACTCTTGCATCCTTGTCTGAGCCTTTATCTACTGAATCCAAACAACCTTCTGCTCTCTCTTATTGCTCTCTCTTTTTTTCTCTCTCGTCTCTCTCCTCTTTACTATTCTTCTCTTTCTCTCTCTCTCTTCTCTCTCTCTCTTCTCTCTCTCTTCTCTCTCCTTTCTCTCTCTTTCTCTCTTTCTCTCTCTTTCTCTTTTCTCTCTTTTCTCTCCTCTCTCTCTTTCCTCTTCTCCTCTTCTTTCTTCTCTCTCTTTCTCTTTTCTCTCTCTTCTCTTTTCTCTCTTCTCTTTCTCTCTCTCTCTCTCTTCTTTTCTTCTCTCTCTTCTCTCTCTCTCTCTTCTCTCTCTCTCTCTCTCTCTCTTTCTCTTCTCTCCTTCTCTCTTCTTCTCCCTCTCTTCCCTCCTCTCTTTCTCTCTTCTCTCTTCTCTCTTCTTCCCTCTTTCTCTCTCTCTTTCTCTTTTCTCTCTTCTCTCTCTTTCTCTTTCTCTCTTTTTTCTCTCTCTTCTCTTCTCTCTCTCTCTTTCTCTTCTTTCTCTCTCTCTCTTTCTCTCTTTTCTCTCTTTTCTCTTCTTCTCTTTCTCTTTCTCTCTCTCCTCTCTCTCTCTCTCTCTCTCTCCTTCTCTCTCTCTCTCTCTCCTCTCTCCTCTCTCTCTCTCCTTCTCTCTCTTTCTTTCTTTCTTTCTTTTGTAAAATCTCATAACTGCTTTTAGTAACCTGCCACCTATTCCATGCACTTGCAACATCTGCCACATTGCTTGAGCACCCTATCCACCATACCATATGCCATAAATATAATGAAAACCTCTTTACTCTTATCTAAATACTGTTCACCTATATACTTCACTGTAAACACGGTCTACACATCCCCTACTCTATCTGAAGCCTGCTTGCTCATCTTCCCCACATTCACATCTGGCTCTTCCTCACTTTACAAGATCATATACCTCCTTGCCCAATGCACAGAATCGCAGCTTTAGGTTTATCAACATTTATTAAGCAATTCAAAATATTTCCTCCATCTTCTCAATACCTCTAACTCTCCTCTCCTATTTTTATCTGTCAAATCCATTTGTTCCCTACTCTTTCTCAACTTATTAATCTCACTCCAAAACCTTTTCTTATTCTCATCAAATTTTATTAGCAATGTTATCACTAAAGGATCTATTATGTCATTATTTTATACCATTACTCTCCATAATATTTTCATTTTTTTTTTTTTTTTTCAGATTGCTAATATGTTCACACGAACACCACCTACAACGGCTCCCAACACTACTGTGTGAAAGACTGAGAAACTAAAAAAACTGAAGAATCGTGAAAATATTCATATGTATGCATTGAGTCACTTAATAAATCTGTTATTAGCTATATATGTTCAAAACAAATTAATTACAATAAACATTTGTTTTTATTGATGCTTTGTTCACCTTGATATATGTATTACAGACAGAATTTACTGTACTTATGTATGTGATGTACAGTAAAACCTTGATATAATAGAATTTTTAAATTATGGTCAGAATTCACTGGTTAAATTATTCTAACCATTTAGTATATTTGCTAATTGTGTACTTTATTAGGTATACTTTAGTGTGTTTTATTTTCAACATTTTGATTTAATGGACACTCAGACAATCCTTCCTATTAGACCATTATATTAAGTTTACTGTATTTTAATTACTTTCTAAAAGTTTTACAGTAGGTGTCAGTATGGGTATTGTATGTAAGGTTGTAATAGGTTATGAATTTAGAGTAATGATTCCATTATTGCAGTGTGGAAAGATGCTCACTGGTCAGTTGTTTCTGCCAGCTTAAAATTTGTCCTGAGCAGAGAGTATGATTTAAAACTTTTTATTATTCATTAGCTTGTTATAAATTGGAATTTAAATTGTATATCTTATTGTTTTCCATGCGTGTTGTAAAAAGCAACTAAAATGCCAGGAGCAAAGGGGCTAGTAACCCCTTATCCTGTAGACATTACTAAAGTAGAAGAGAGAAACTTTTGTTTTTCTTTTTGGGCCACCCTGCCTTGGTGGGATACTGCCAGTTTGTTGAGAGATGATGATCTTTACAAATACATTGTTTTAAATTAGTTCAAGGAAGCAGGGAAAGGTTTATACATGAGATTTCATTTTCTATGAAAGATATTTCAAGCCTTGATATTAGCAAAGGGCTTTTGTTCCGAGGAATTGGCACTGTCTTCTTCAGAGTACACCTGATTACTTCATTCCCCAGACTAGTAATATGACTTATTGTTTTAGCAACTCCCATAAAATCAGTAATACAGACAATGAAAAGTACAGGTCATCAACATCAAATTATTAAAATAAATGGAAGAATATGACACATCACAAATCTGCACTTGTGTGTGTTTTGGTCCATCCTGGACCATTGTCAGGGGGTCTTAACAATGGCCCAGGGTGGACCAGAATGTTGCCAGAGTTTTCTCTCTTATGTGCAACTTGCTAACAGTTAGCAAATAGAACCCTGAATTATAGAACTATTTTTGAAGGCATCTTAAACTTCTGATAATGTATAATCCTCTTGGCTGCAGCCAAGAAAAAAAATTTACTGTCTGCTATTTTCTTCAGACTTACATGGACAGTTATTTTTATTATTATTACCCTGATGCTGAGTAGTTCTTGATCCAGGGATTTGGACCTGTTCCCTTCCTTGGGTTGATCCTAATTGCCTCCCATTTCCTAAGTGCTGTGTGATTCTTATTTTAGTGCTTCTCCCTGTATATATTAATGTTAGTCAATGGGGAGGGAGGAGGGGATGAGAACACTAAACTTGTGGGGGTCATACAATGCTTGGGGGAATGGGAGGTAATCAGGTTTGATCCAAGGAATAAAAAGTGTGGCTCAACTTTTTGGATCAAGAGCTCCTTACTGGTGTCAACCTCAATTGAGGGGCATGACCCAGTAAGTGCTGTTGTCTAGCAGCAAGAGTGCAGTGCCTTCACATTTTCACTACCATCTGGGGACACCCAGATAGTCATGGTTCATGACTCACAAAATCGTAATGACATGATTGCAAACAATCCATTCCATGGGTCGAGATTGGACTTGAGGCGAGCGAGTCGTAAAACAGGCCTGGAGTTTTACGATTCATTCGCCACGAGTTCAGTCCCCACCTGTGGTATGGTTAGTCATGGTTTATGTCATATACTCCTCTAGGGAGGTGCCTTCCTGCCTGTGACAGGCTCTAGAATCAATTAGACAGGTTCTTCCTTGGTTTGAACCTGATTGCCTTTCATTTCCTCCAGCACTGTATGATTCCTACAGGTTTCACTCTCCCCATGAATGTAATATTAAACCATAACTTATATTTTTGCTCTGTGGGGAAAGTGGAGAAGACTCCTTCCTCAGTAAGCTGTACATCTCATAAGTAACAATTAAAATCCTGTACAGTGGACCCTCCCTTTTCGTTGGGCTCTGTTTTCGCTCATTTCCATTATCGCAGATTTTTTCCATAAAATTATTGGCTCCTTTTTTGTTGCTTTCCTCCGTTCTCATTGGTGGTATGGTACATGTCTAAGTGTGCCATGCACACAGCCTCCCACACACACATTCTGAGGAGGCAGTGTCGCTTTGTTTATGGGTGGGTGAACGTTGTCCTGCAAGGCCATGGGAAACATTTCATAATAATTCATTATTTTTTGCACTTGTTTATTCATTGTGACTGCTAAATAAGCCACCATGGGCCCAAAGAAAGCTGCTAGTGTCAGGCCGTTGATAAAGAAATTGAGAAACACGATAGAATTCAAGAAAAAACTCACAGCAAAGTACCAAAGTGGAGGAGGAAGAGAGAGGGGAGAATGTGCCTTCTTCAGTGATTCTACGATATGTATGATACTAAAGCAGCAGGAGTCAGTAAAGGCTATAGTGCCAGCTAGTGATAAAGTGTAGCATTAACAGTGTAGCAGATAAGCAATAGATAAAGGACGACGCAAAACTGACTCCTCCATTGTTGTCTGAGGTATCTTCCACCACCCTAAACTAATGCTAGTATCTCCAAGGTACAGTAAGTGTAAATATTTCTTATTTACAAGTTAGTGTAAATGTTTATTTATAAATTACGTACATTGTTTGTGTGAATAGTGTTGGTGGCTTCTGCTGTTGCCTCTACCACTAATATGTACAGCTTCTCTCAGTGGCCCCTTATAAACCCAACAGCAACATCCCACCACTTACATACATAATGACGTATTTTATTCATTCTAGAGTATATATCATGTTTCTGTTATTAATATTGTTTATGCCATATTAAGTGAATTGTGATAGATAAATAAGCCATGAAATATACATAGTTCTTCTCCGTAAAATGTATTTTTTATTTATATGTACTTTTGGATGTCTGAAACTGATTAATTGGATTTACATTATTTCTTACGGGGAAAATGGTTTCAGTTTTAGTCGATTTCGCATTTCGTTGGCCTCTCTGGAACGAATTAATGATGAAAAGGGAAGGTCCACTGTATAAGTTATTAAATGTAAAAAAAGATAACTTTCATTTCTTGTTTGTCGGGTCACCCTGCCTCAGTGGGAGACGACCAATCATATCCGGCCATATCCCACCGAGGCAGGGTGGCCCAAAAAGAAAATTCTGTTCCACTTCCCCGTGGAGATAAGAGGAAATAAACAAGAAAATAGAAGAAAACCCAGAGGGGTGTGCATATATATGCTTGTACATGTATGTATAGTGTGATATAAGTGTAAGTAGAAGTAGCAAAAAACACCAGCAATCCTACCATCATGTAAAACAATTACAGGCTTCTGTTTTACACTCACTTGGCAGGATGGCAGTACCTCCCTGGTTGGTTGCTGTCTACCAACCTATTACCTATAACCATTATGTTAAAAAATATATATTTTTATTTTAACTGGGAAAAATGCTAAATCCCAGGGGTTATTATGCAAATATCACAAACCAAGCAATATATGATGCAAAACAACCTCGGGGGAAATAGAATCATAGGTCTAGACCTTTCCTGTTGCAATCATCACATCATCAGGAGCTTGCAAAGTGGCAGAAAAAAGGAGGATGGCCGAGCCAACACGATCCCAGGGGATGTACAGTAGGGCCCCACTTATATGGTGGGTTAGGTTCCAGGCTGTCGCCGGAAAGCAGACATCGCCGAAAGGCAGAACACCATTTTTTTCCATGTATAAATGCATATTTTTTTTTTCCATGTATAAATGCATATAACTAGGTAGTAGGTTGGTAAACAGCAACCACCCAGGGAGGTACTACCGTCCTGCCAAGTGAGTGTACAACGCATATGCAACAGTTAGGCATCTTTATTTCGAAACGTTTCGCCTACACAGTAGGCTTCTTCAGTCGAGTACAGAAAAGTTGATAGAAGCAGAAGATACTTGAAGACGATGTAATCAGTCCATCACCCTTAAAGTTTTGAGGTGGTCAGTCCCTCAGTCTGGAGAAGAGCATTGTTCCGTTGTCTGAAACAATATGAAGTTGAAGTGACAGAATGGGGCCTTATATAGGGCCAGGAGGTGAGACGTAGGTTGCTTTGGGAGGGCAGGTCCCTCTCAAACCCAGCCGTTCTCACTAGTAGAGGTTGTCAAGTTGATAGTCTGTACCAAGATACCCTTGTGTTGCAGTGTCTGACAGAATGAACATTAAAATGGTATAAAATACCGACAGGTTGTTAGGTAAGACACATATGCAACAGTTAGGCATCTTTATTTCGAAACGTTTCGCCTACACAGTAGGCTTCTTCAGTCGAGTACAGAAAAGTTGATAGAAGCAGAAGATACTTGAAGACGATGTAATCAGTCCATCACCCTTAAAGTTTTGAGGTGGTCAGTCCCTCAGTCTGGAGAAGAGCATTGTTCCATTGTCTGAAACAATATGAAGTTGAAGTGACAGAATGGGGCCTTATAAGGCCCCATTCTGTCACTTCAACTTCATATTGTTTCAGACAATCGGAACAATGCTCTTCTCCAGACTGAGGGACTGACCACCTCAAAACTTTAAGGGTGATGGACTGATTACATCGTCTTCAAGTATCTTCTGCTTCTATCAACTTTTCTGTACTCGACTGAAGAAGCCTACTGTGTAGGCGAAACGTTTCGAAATAAAGATGCCTAACTGTTGCATATGTGTCTTACCTAACAACCTGTCGGTATTTTATACCATTTTAATGTTCATTGAGTGTACAACGAAAGCCTGTAATTGTTTTACATGATGGTAGGATTGCTGGTGTCTTTTGTCTGTCTCATAAACATGCAAGATTTCAGGTATGTCTTGCTACTTCTACTTGCATTTAGGTCACACTACACATACATGTACAAGCATATATATACACACACACACCCCTCTGGGTTTTCTTCTATTTTCTTTCTAGTTCTTGTTCTTGTTTATTTCCTCTTACCTCCATGGGGAAGT